TTCTCAATGGCGCCGTCTGCCAGCTGGATGCGACCGGTGTCTAGATCCGTGATGGCACAAATGGGGTTCAAGCAGGCATTGTACAGCAGCTTCCGCCAGCGACTGAACCCGACGTTGGGGCTGAACTGAGGATTACACTTGCCACCGGCTCCATAAATCTCACAATATTCTTTAGCGGCCGCATCCTCTTCGTCGGGTTCTAGATTGGGGTTGCGGAAGGCTCCCACGTAAAGCTCGTCATCGTCTTCGTGGACGATTTCTCCCATGGAGACCTGATGAGAACCACAGAAGCTGACGCCCGAGAGGATGATATTTTCTGGGAAAGCGGCAATAAGGGGCTTTTCTATGTTCAGGCCATTCTGGACGAGCGCGATGCGCGTGTAGCCCCTGGTGACGGCGGGGCGGATGATCTCTGCTACGGTCGGGGGCACATCGGCGTAATTCTTGGTGGTGACGACGATGTACCGGTATGGGGGGAGGTTCTCTTTCTCAACGTCTGGGATAGTGTTTCGTACTATCAAGGCAACTGTTAGTAGGAAACTGCTGACATGGAAATGAGTGGCTGCATACAGATTGACGGCCGGAAGCCTTTCACCTCTCCGTGGTCGATAGATCTGATGGAGAAGCCGTGCGCTTTGACATGATCATAATTGGAACGCAGGACAGCAGTGACAATGGCTTTGCCTCCAAGTTCCAAGTTCAGCGCAGCAATAGTGCCGATCCCACCACAGCCGATTAGCAGGATGTTGGCTTTGTTTTGCATGGTGAGTGAGTAGGGGCGGAGATGTAGACGAGGAATGAGGCCAACCTGTTGTTATCGGGATCTTAATGGGGGTTGTTATAAATGGTGAGAGGTAAATCATGACCATGGAATTAACCTGCCTGGTTGGACAGATGATGCTATCACGCCTTATCGAGACTATCGGCAAGTGGCTGATCCTCGCGATAATCGCGATAATCTTAGCTTCAACTCCGTCAACCCCGCTTGCCCGCAACACCAAATAGGCAGGCCATTCCGGCCTCACCTTCCCCGTTATCCTCCAGGCAACTCTCCTCGCTCGACATCTTCCCCCTCACTTATTCACTACATACCATATCTATTGCTTCTCATATCGACTGCTTATCGATCTCCATGACATCAGGGGCCGCCGTCACCACCACCACCACCACCGAGGCCCCTGCTCGCCCTGGCAAGCCAACTGACACCCCAGTGCGCTCCCGTTCCTTGGGAGGATGCGAGACCTGTCGTCGGCGCCATGCAAAGTGTGATGAGACCAGGCCATCTTGCCTCGTGTGTGAGCGTGCGGGGCTAGTCTGTGAGAGGTACGAGATTCGGCTGTTGTTCGATGCGAGTGAGAACCAGAGCTCACGATGTCGCCGTCCCCTCTTCAGTGAGGACATACGTCAGCGTATGAGTGAGCAGTTAACCGACAGCTTGGACTTGGATGACGTCCACACCATTCTGACCAAGATTGATGGTCAATGCGAGAGCCAGGAGGAGGAGACCAGTACCAATTTCACTACCCGCATGGGTCCCTTTGGTGCCTTTCGGGTGGTTCAGGTCGAGATGGACCTTCCCGAAGCCCCCCTGGACCCAGTTGACGAGCCCCTCCCTCGGGTAGAAGACAGTCCGGTCAATGTTGGGCTGGAAACTTCCTTGGACGATGCCTTTAGCAACGATCCCCTCATGGAGTGTCTGTTTGGCCATGTGAATGTAGACGTTTCTGCCGACTTGGATGCTCAAGATTTCTTCGCCGCAACCCTACCTTCTGCGGAAAATGATGGGATTTCCCCGCAATCCCTGTCAGGAGGCTTCCTTATGGGACCATCGCCATCGGTTCCTCTGCAAGCATCGTTATTGTCGTCGCCGGAGATCCGATATGCTCCATCTGTGACCAACCTGGCCCCGCCAGATGCCCCCCTATTGCTGTCTGCATACACCAAGAATGTCACTCAACTGTTCACCCCAATCCAGCTGGAAAAGAGCCCCTGGAGTATGCTATACATACCCCCCGCTATGGAGACTCTGGCGTTGCTGACCATGGGCGAATTGGCCAACAACACCCGGATGTCCATCTTCTACGCAATTCTCGCCACTGCGGCCTTCACCCAGCGTCTATCTTCCTTGACGCGCAGCGCAAGCGAATATTGGCAGAGACAGGCAGAGACCTTTGCTACCGAAGCTCAAAATCACCTCAAGCGAGCATTACACGATGCGTCATCAAGCGTCAAAAAAGTCAAGTACAAAGATGTCCTCATCGCCTTGCTGTGCATGGGCACGGTTTCGGTAAGCAACACCAGCCGCAGCTGAGCAGAGTACATGTCTCACCATACATATAGGCCTACCAAGGGAGCACAGAGCGGGTGCGCCGATGTCTGTTAGACTGCGAAAACTGGGTTCGTTTTCGTGGCTTGCCTAAAACGCGGAAATCACGCAAGGTCCGCTTGTTGCACCATTGCTATGTCTATCTACGTATCTTCCAGGAGAGCACTTCCGTTCTCCCTGTGTCCAATGTAGAGATAGAGTCCGACTATGCATCCCCCGATACAGTGCGCTCCATCGCTTCCACTCGCTCGTTCCGCCTTCGGCAATGGGAAGGTCGATTGGACCAGCGGATGAGCGAGTTGAAGGAGCAGCACCAGGGAGAAAATGATTTGCACTTAGAAATCCCGGGCCAGTGGGACTCGACCATGTACCCACATGTTTTTGGCCTTCCCGAGTCTCTACTATTTCTAATATCACAAGTAACGCGACTAGGCAATGAGCGAGACCTCTCGGACTTGGGAAGCTATACGGGGGCGTTGGACTTTAAGCAGTTCTCCGCGCGGGCGCGGAGCTTAGAGCGATGCATTTCCACTTGGCGACCACCGTCAGTGTCAGATGCGGATCCAGACAGTATCATCGCTCAGACAAATGCCACGGTTGTTCGCCTGATGATTTCTGCAATTCATAAAGCCCTCATTATCTTCTTTTATCGGCGGATCTACGATGTGGATCCGATGATCCTCCAAGATAAAGCGTGGCAAGTGCGAGACGCCCTAGCTCAGGTAGCAAGAGACGATATGCCGGCGACTCGCGTGGCTGCTCCTTTTCTTTGGGTAGCGTTTATTGCCGCCTGCGAGGCTTTGGATCCTACACTACAAGACTGGTTTGCGGGCTGGTTCGAGATATCGGCCAGAAAAAGTGGGCTTGGAACTTTTAAGCTGGCATTAAGGATAGCAAGGCAGGTCTGGGAGAGACAACGACACCACCTGAACAGTAACGCCAGCGCCAGTTGGCCGCAGATTATGCGGGAAAGCAACTTGAGTTTGTTCTACATATGACGACACGTCCTTGAAACTTCATCTTCTCATCACCATCATACTCAATACATCGTACAATCAAATTCGACCACATGCGACCACACTCACTGTAGAAACTGATCGTTGCAGAGTGCTCGCTCCATTTCATAATCTGGCTGGAATTCATGATACAACGCCTCCTGCTTTTATTAGCCATACCTTCCATCCCCAAAGACTTGGGTGTAACTCACCGGATCACTAGTCATCTTGAATGTAAACTCAGCCGCTTCCGGCTCAATAAGCTTCTTCTCCAAATCCTGAGCAGCAGCCGCATCCACCTGCAGTTGAATCTCGCAGCTCCTCTCAGCCAGAGTGAACAGATAAGCCGCTTCATCAACAGTCTGTCCGACCGTAAGAAGGCCATGGTTGCGCAGTATCAGCAGCTTTCCCTTGTCACCCAAGTGTCTACCCAGACGTAGACTCTCCTCTTTCTCTAGCACGACGCCCCCAAACTCGGGGTAAACAGCCTGCGCATCGCCGTAAAACATAGTAACGTCTTGGTTGATCATATCCAAAGGCTTGGCGAACGTCGACCACGCTTTGCCGTACTTCGAGTGGGCATGGCACGCCGCGTTCACATGCGGATACATCTTGTGCAGGACGCCGTGGATCTGGAAGCCCGCGGCATTGGCTGGCCGCGATCGATTGCCTCCGACTGGTTCGCCGGCGTGGTTTAGTAGGATGAGATCGGAAACTTTGACTAAACCGAAATGGAGCCCGAGTCTGGGATTGTTAGCTGGTGTACCTGGACCGGTCTTGTTGGTGTGTTGGTGGGAGGTCATACGGATTCGTCCAGAAGCAGTCTGGATGCTCTGGATCACGCAAGGAGATGTGCCCGCTCATTCCTTCGGAGAAACCCTTGCGAGCGAATACTCTGAAGGCACCAGCCATGTGCTCGAGCATCCATCTTCGCTTTTTGTCCGCGGAGGTAAAGGAAGGGATGCCTGGTAGGGTGGCTCCTTGTGAGATGGCCTGGATGGCTGATTTTCCAGTGGTGTTTGACTCTGTGGCCTCTGAAGGGTCTTCCTTCTTCGCTACGATGGTGGTTGTGGTTGAGGACATGGTGCTGTGTTGGACTATTCAACGTACGAAAGGATATGAATCGAGTCCACATTGGCGTTGCAGTGTGGAATATCTGAGTATGTCAGGACTTATATTTCTACCTGCACGTTTTACTTTTTATCCCACGGTGTCTTGTGATTTAGTCGACAATTGCCCGACTGGTTTGGCGTGGAGAGTTAGGGTATGCAAGGGTGAATGCAATAGGCAGGTCAAGAGACACGCAGCAGGGGAGACTTGCCTTGCTAGCCAACTGATAACCTCGGGCTAGCCCCGGCAGTGGATCTGGCTCGAAACTGAACTAGAGGCGAACCAGCAAGGCCTGATAGATACAACCCGCTGCTTCTCCGCAATGATGCAGCTGACATTCGTTTATCCAATGTCCGTGCTCAAGCCACAGTGACACTAATGGCCTCGTATCTCTCAGTCTTTATCTGGTATCGGGATCTGCGAAGGCAAAGCTCAGTTCCCACGTAACCCCAGATTCTGTACATGCAGTGTCCTGCGAACTGATAAATGCCCTGTATACCCTCTGTACCTAGCTACAATTTCCTTAGTTTCAATTCATTCAATCCATATCTCAGTTTACTGTAGCAATTATGACCAAGTCCCCCGACGAAAAATCACTCGAGGTCCTCGATCGCACTGCCTCATATGCTGAAGGCCAGATTCTCCCCCATGATGCTGCCCCCGTCACCCAGCGTGGCATCAAGTCCCGCCATGCCCAGATGATGGCCATCGGCGGCACCATAGGCACAGGTCTCTTCGTGGGAGTAGGAGAAGTGCTCGCGCTGGCCGGCCCAGCCAACATTCTCCTCGCCTACATCACCATCTGTATTATCGTCTACGCCATTATCACCGCCACCAACGAAATGAACACCTACCTCCCCTTCAGCGGCTGCTCAATGGCTGCCTACGGCACCCGCTTCGTCTCCTCAAGCTTAGGCTTCGCCATGGGCCTCCTCTACTGGTACAGCTTCGGCATCCTCGTCGCCTACGAAACCACCGCCGCTGCCCTCGTCATCGACTACTGGTCCAACCCAGTCCCCCTCGCCGTCTGGATCACCCTCATGCTCATGGTCGTCCTCGCGCTCAACTTCTTTCCCGTCAAAGTCTACGGCGAGACCGAATTCTGGTTCGCATCTCTCAAAGTCTTCCTCATCATCGGTCTCCTCATCCTCTCCTTCGTCCTCTTCCTCGGTGGCGGTCCCAACCACACCCGTCTAGGCTTCCACTACTGGAAGACCCCCGGTGCCTTCAACACTTATCTCGTCTCCGGCTCCACCGGCCGCTTCTGCGCCTTCCTCTACACCCTCTGCTACTCCGTCTTCTCCTTTAACTTCGCCCCGGAACTCCTCGTCGTCGCTGCAGGCGAGATGCAGAACCCTCGCAAGAATCTCCCCCGCGCTGCAAAGCAGTACTTCTACCGCCTCATCATCTTCTACATCCTTGGCGTTCTTGCCATCGGCGTTATCTGCCCAAGTAATGCCTCCGGACTGACAAATGGTACCGGCGTCGCCGCCTCCCCCTGGGTCATCGCCATCAAACGCGCCGGTATTCACGGCCTCGACTCCGTCGTCAACGCCGTCATCATCACTTCCGCGTGGTCCTCCGCGAACTCGTACCTCTACATGTCCAGTCGGACACTCTATTCCCTCGCGAGGGCAGGCAGCGCCCCCAAGATTTTCACCCGCTGTACCCGCCACGGCGTGCCCTACTACGCTGTACTGTGCAGCTCGCTGTTCTCCCTGCTGGCGTACATGGACTGTAGTTCCGGCGCCAGCACTGCGTTCAATTGGTTCGTGAATATCACCAACACGGCGGGGTTTACGTCGTGGACGTGCTGCGGGATTATATTCTTGAGGTTCAGGGCGGCGTGTAACGCTCAGGGTTTGAAGGATCTTCCGTATCGGTCGAGGTTGCAGCCGTGGATGGGGATCATTGCCACAATGGCTTGTCCGATACTGTTGCTGTGTAACGGGTTTGAGGTCTTCTTTCATGGGCACTGGAGTGTGTCGTCGTTTCTGACTTCGTATGTGGGGTTGTTTGTCTTTGTGGGAGTTTATGCTGGGCATCGGGTGATGAGGTGGAAGGATGGGTGGTGGATTCCTGCTGAGCAGGTGGATTTGGTAAGTGGGTTGGAGGAGGTGGAGGCATTAGGGGTTGATGATGGGGATGAAGTGGAGAAGAAGGGGTTTTGGAGGAAGTTGTGGGAGTAGTTTGATTGTTACTATGTACTAGATCCATGTTATGTTTATTGTATTCTTTATGAGGCTGTTCGTTCTATCTTTAAGTGGTATGTATGTTCAAACTTGTTCTTTCATAATGATTATAGCTTCGCCAATAGCCCATTCGTCTCTAGTACCGCCAGATGCTCCGGCGTGATATCTGCTATAGTTCGACACCTGCATACGTCCACATTCATTAGTATCTGCCATATGCACGTTGACGTGGTCACTTACCCTGCAAGCTTCATTGTGCGACAGAACTCGTCGAAGAGGATCTTGACCGCTAGGTCGACGCCTTTCTCGCCGTTATACTATACCGACTGTCAATCACCTGAACAAATATGGTAATATGTCTGAAGCTTACCGCTAATCCCCAGATCGGAATCCTCCCCACAAAACACATCGACGCGCCCAGCGCAATCGCCTTGAACACGTCTGCTCCCCGTCGAATGCCCCCGTCCACTGCTAGAGGGATCTTCCCTTTTGCTACGGGCGCGCAGATGCGCAGTGCGTCCAGGGTAGCGGGCACGCCATCGAGTTGGCGACCGCCGTGGTTGGAGATGACGACGCCGTCGACTTTGTGGTCGATGGCTAGTTGGATGTCCTCGGGAGAGTAGACTGTTCTTGTTAGTCTATACATAGTAACCACAGGAGTGAGGATGGACGTACCCCCCTTGAGCCAGATCTCGAGCTTCGTGTTTTGTCGTAGCCAGGCGATCGTCTTGTCCCAGTGAATAGAGCCATCTGGATACTCTGTTAGTAGCCGATATGCAGAAGGAAATGAAGTGCATACCGTAGCCACGCTCATACGTGTCCTTCAACCCCAACTCCTCAATTCCCTCTGCCAGTACTGGAAACCGCATATCCCTCGGGAAATTGAAGTTATTCCGAGACTCGTTCAATCTGTTCCCTAGTACAGGGAGATCCACGCTCACGAATAGTGCTTTGTATCCGGCTTCTTTACTGTCATCAGCAACCGCGAACGTTATACTGCTCAACTGGACACCCACTTTCGGCCTTCTGAATAATCCTCCTCGTAATCTCTACATCCCTGAAAAAGGACACCTGCATTGCATACGGATTCCCCGTCCCCTGGGCAATCACATCATCGATGCCTGTTGTTGCCCACGAGGACAAGCACATGGGGATATCGTGCGCTGCAGCTGCACGCGATGTGCCCACTTCGCCATCTGCATGGGCGAGTTTGTGCGCGGCAGCCGGGGCAAAGCCGAGGGGGAATTTCACTTTCTTGCCGAAGATGGTGGTGCTGGTGTCGAGGGCATCCACGTCGCGGAGGACGCGAGGGAGGAGTTTGTATCGGTTGTAGGCTGCTTCGTTGTCTTTTAGACTGTGATCTGTTAGTATATATAGAGGGCTGCGGTGAGTTGTGGGAATTAGTACGTGATGAGGTCGCCAGCGCCTTCGTTGAAGTAGTCTATATGCATGTCTTAGTATTGGCTGGATTTGATAGCTCGTGAGAATTGCTCACCGCGCACGACCGGAGGAAGCCGTTTCTGGGCCTCAATGGCCAGATCGGCGATAGTGAGGACTTTGGAGTCGTGATCTTTGGGACGGTTGGCCATTTCGATGTATGTACACTGCAAGGTAGTGATTGGCAATACGGACTAGATCTACAACTGGTATATATAATTTTCCGGATTGTCTACTCAATGGCTCAAACAACCGAAAAGGCAGTTCCGCGGATTGAATATCCATCTTGCAGTATGTCGATCTACGATAAGATAGAGATTCCCCCAACTGGCGGTGGAGTGGATTTAATGCAGGCAAGTCACCCCGGCCCACTCCAAACAGGCAAGTCAAGACTTCCCCGCACGATAAGATAACCAGTTTCATTCTTCGGACTTTGTTTTTGCCCTATATCTATCCCACCTCTTTACCACATAGAAACACCGGTTATCAGCTTCAATCCACTGACAATGGCTCCAGCAACCGTCCTGGCTACCTCCGCCTACTACGCCCCTGGCGTGGTGTCATCCGCCAACAAATATCTCCATGTCTCGGGCCAACCAGGCACCATTGAAGGCACTGCCCCTGCCGATTACAATTCGCAGATCCATCTTGCCCTTGTGAATCTACACCGTGTGCTAGCCGCCACCGGCGCTACCCCTCGCGATGTAGTCAAACTCACCCTCTACATCGTCGACTACGACCCCAATAACCGTCTACACACCCGACCTCTACAGACATGGCTCGCCGGCCACAAACCGGCCATTACTCTTGTTCCAGTACCTCAGCTAGCTGTCCCGGGCTGGAAATTCGAGATTGAGGCTACCGTTGCGGTGCCGGACTCTGTCCCAACTTCGCTTTCTCTTCCCTCTTCCACAGAAACGACCGATGTGCTTATCATTGGCGCCGGCCTGTCCGGCCTCATGGCTGCCGAAACCATCCTCCAGTCTGGTCACTCGTGCATCGTGCTCGAAGGCCGCGACCGCGTGGGCGGCAAGACTTGGTCTTGTCCCTTGCCAAGTGGCACCGGGGTGGTCGATCTCGGCGCTGCCTGGATCAACGATACCAACCAGAGCATGATGCATGAGCTGGCAAAACGGGCTGGTGCTGAATTGATCGAGCAGAATACGACGGGTAACTGTCTTTTGCAGCGAGAGGACGGCACCCTCACTGCGTTCCCCTACGGGCAGACTCCATGCGTATGCTACCTCCTTCCCACCGCGATATAACTCACCCCGCTAACTGCGTCCAGATAACCCCTCAAATCCAAAAAGAAATTGAACTTATCCGCGACACTGCCGAACTTGACTGCCAATCTCTCTCCACCAGTCGACCCCAGAATGCCGAACTCGACTCCCTCTCCTTCCTCGCCTATCTGCATTCCCGCAACGCCAGCCCCATCGCTGTCGCAAACGCCTCCGTCTGGACTCGCGCCATGCTGGGTCAGGAACCCCAGGACATCTCCGCCCTCTACTTCCTCAATTACTGCAAATCGGGTGGCGGATTACTCCAGATGCGATCGGATCGGAAACACGGCGCGCAGTATCTGCGTGTGCGACAGGGGACGCAGATCTTTGCGAAGACGCTGGCAGAGTCATTGCCCACGGATACAGTTCGCTTCGGGCAGAGAGTGGTGGGGATTACACAGGTGCAGAAAGGGGTGAACTATGTTAAAACGGAGAGTGGATTGGTGGTCAAGGCTCGGAAGGTCATTTGTTCAGTGCCGACACCTGTCCTTAAGACGATCAAATTCGAGCCGCAACTACCTGCTGCTAAGCAGCTGCTGGTTGATTCATTCAGATATGGTTACTACACCAAGGTGATGTTGTCGTTTCGGACGGCGTGGTGGGCGGATCGTGGGTTCTGTGGACTGGCGCAGTCGTTTGTTGGTCCTGCGTCGATTTACCGCGATACGAGTGTGCCGGAGGATGGTAAATGGGTGCTCACGGCGTTTTTGGCCGGCGACGCTGGGAGGAAGTGGTCTGCGTTGGGGAGTCAAAGGGAGCGTGAACTAGCATTGTTGGAGCAGTTGGGGGCAATTTATGGTGATAAGGATCTGCCCAAGAGGGAATTCGTCGAGGCTCTCGGCCACGAGTGGTCGACTGAGGAACTCTCTGGCTGGGGCTGTCCTTGTCCAGCATTGCCTCCAGGCGTCTTGACGCTGGCTGGTGATGCCCTCCGAGAGCCGTTCCGGGATGTGCATTTCGTGGGAACGGAGACGGCGGAGGAGTGGAAGGGATATATGGAGGGAGCTGTGCGCAGTGGGAAGAGGGGGGCACTGGAGGCTGTTAAGGGGCTGACGAGAAGCCAGTTGTGATACTCATATGGTAGATGGAGTACTAGCGATCATCTAGACGATGCTGCATATGTGAATGGGGTATGTTAATGACATCAGTTCTATAGCACGAGTTCCTCGGAATTTATCGTAAGGTGCAAATACCGACCAATCAGGAGGCATGCTGTGAAGTGGAATTTACCACAACCAAACCCCAATAGTGTTTTGTTAGCAACCAACTCTTCCACCATAGGAATCTACCCAATGGATGAAATAAAGATCTACATTCCAGTTTACATAGCCCCAAAACTAACGCGATGGGGTCCAAAAAATGGGAACTGGCAGCTGTGATCCGCCGTACCCCGTGCCAAGCCTGACTCCATCCCCAACTCGATTTGATTGATCCATTCTTAATGCTCAATTCATCTCTCCGTTTGCAGCTTTGCAGCCAACTTCACCTCTCCATCCGTCTCTTAACTCTTCTTATAGTCACATAGCCCTCGCATCTGCGATGGCCCTCCCTTCCACTCGCACTCGCTAACCCTCCTCATGCCACGCCGCCGCCTCATTCTGGTCGCCGCGCTCCTCGCCCTCGGCCTCCTCTACACCCTCACCTCCCACGGCGCATCCTCCCCTCCTCTCCACATCATCCCCAATGACTGTCCCTCACGCCCCGATCTCGACAACATTCTAGTCGTCCTCAAAACCGGCGTCACCGAATCACGCACCAAAGTCCCCATCCACCTTTCCACCACCCTCCGCTGCATTCCCAACCACGTCCTCTTCTCCGACTACGTCGAACAACTCTCCCCCACCCACTTCACCCACGATGTCCTCGCCTCGCTCTCCCCGGCTCTCCTCAATCATAACCCCGAACTTGACCTCTACCGTCGCGTGCGCGCCGAAGGCCCTGCCGCCCTCACTGCCGCCGACCTGAACCCCGACGTCAACACCCCGATCGGCAAACCCAATAACCCCGGCTGGAAACTCGACAAATGGAAGTTCCTTCCCATGCTGGACGAGGCCCTGCGCGTCAAACCAGATGCGAACTGGTACATCTTCCTCGAGGCCGATACATACCTCGTTTGGGATAATTTCCTCCAGTGGCTACGGCGCTTCGATCCCTCCAAACCATGGTACCTCGGCAATCAGATGCAGATCGTGGATGCTATTTTTGCCCACGGTGGTTCCGGGTTTGCGCTGTCGCGCCCAGCGCTCGTGAAGGCTGTTAATCAGCGCCAGCGGACTAGCGATGGATGGGAACGTGCCGTGGCGGAACATTGGGCTGGGGATTGCATGCTGGGGATTCTGCTCGAGAATGTCGGGGTGGATTTGACGTGGTCGTGGCCGATGCTGCAGATCGCTCCGCCGGAGGAGATGGATTACTTCTCCATTGGATATGCGAAGCGGCCGTGGTGTTATCCGGCCGTGTCGTTTCATCATCTGGACGAGCAGGGTATCCGTCAGTTGGATGACCTGGAGAGGGAGCTGGGGCCGCTGAAGACACCGCTGCTGTATCGCGATGTGTTCCTCAAGCTGGTCCGACCGGAGCTGCGCGATGTTCGCACCGAGTGGGATAACCTGGTCGACGGGGATCCCGTGGCCGTGAGCAGCTTCGCGGCCTGTCGGGACGTGTGCACGCGCGAGGCCAAGTGTCTGCAGTACGCCTATAACGAGACGGAGGGAGCGTGTCGCACGTCCACGGTGCTGGCGCTGGGACATGCGCGACCGGGACTATCGGCCGGATGGATGACCGAACGCATTGATGCGATGGCGGAGAGTCTGGGCAAGTGTCGCGAGATCAGCTGGATTGATTGATGCGCCCCCGTTTGACAAAGATATCTTTTCATTCATAGTATCATACATATATATACCGTCTATACAACCAGCGTATACACACACACACACAGTGACACATTCTAGAATCCCTGCACAGGAGTATACCCCTCGATCAATCTACTCTGACTCGACCCGCGAATCTTAAACTCCCTCGCCAACCCCGTCACCTGCAATCCAGCCAGTCTGCCCTCATCGAACCGAAACTGACCAATGCGCACATCTCTCCCCCCATCCCAATCACAATAAGTAAATACATGCACCGCATAATGCACCGTCACTCCCCCGGTCTCCTCATCCATTCTCACCACCCCCGTCACACTATACACGAACCTCCCCACAGACAAGAACCAATCCCAGCTCTGATCCGGCGTGGCCACATACTCGTGCCAGAAACTCGTAAACGGCACGACGGGCGCCTCGTCCGGTCGGGTCATCATCACTGCCTCGTAGGCAAGCTTGGCTTTGAATTTCGCCAACTCGTGCACTTCGGCGCGGAATTGCGGCATCGCTGATAACATCTCGTCCACGGAGACGTGCGCATCCCGCCCCGTGTTCCCCAGATAGTGTTTGAGGTAGTCGGCGAAGTGTGTCTGCCCTTGGTTGTGCGCTGCGCGCGCAATGCTATACAGGGTGGTTTTGTCGACGTGGTCGGCGCTGCTGGCTAGTCGGGATTTCCATGGGTAGTAGGGGGATGTGGGTGGTTTGGCTGGGTCGGTGGGTGGTGGGGGGAGAGTGACGCCGTAGTGGGGGAGGGAGTGGGTGAGGGTGGTGAATAGCGATAGAAGTAGAGATAATAGTAGTATTCGCATATTGATATGATATGATAGTGTGTGTATAGATAAAATGATAATGTAGGTATCACGACATACAAGGGACGATGGTGCAAGCAAAGAATTTAAAGAATTAACTACTTACCACTACTCAAGCTAGGCTAAGACTTTCAGTCATTTCTAACCTAAAACTCGGAAAGGGTCCCTGCCCATTTGTTTCAAACCGATCGGCGTTTCCAGTGGAGTGGTCTGTTTGCCGTTGTGACCTATCGCTGTCCCTGCTCAGCCTTATTTGATACCAGACCCTGCCTTGGCATTGCTGATCTTGTCTGCTTCGGAGATGAGTGTACGTGGATGGCAATGCCTTTTTGAGTCTGTTTCCGCTGTTTTTCCTTTGAATGAAGGGTTTGTTGTTGCTGTTGCTGCTAAGGGTCTTCTTTGCCATTGTGATGAGATGTGCAGGGTCAAACTCTACTGGCTATGAATTGATGTCGTCTCAATGATTGAATTGTATGATGAATTGATTGACTTCACATCCAGCCACCCGGCCTGACCGGCCTGTTCCAGACTCTGGCCAATTCACGGATCGTCCGTCCAGCCATCCACTCATTGTCCTTTGCCGACACGGCACACACACACACACACACACACGGTCGCATTGCTTGGATCGAGCACTGCCTCAGACATGTCAGCACTCAACTTGAACCAAACCCTTCAACCCCAGTGTTGAATTAAATATAGAAACGCGGGATAACAACGGCTGGAATTTCAATCAGGTCAAATTGACAGAGGATGAGAAGGAAGAATGGGACAGAATGCATTCAATCTTGACTTGAAACACCGGATACTCCCACACGAACCCGTTCGACTGACAAAGTCCCCACTGTAGGGTCCTTTTCTGTGCGGAATGGCTTTGTTCTCGGAACGTCGTCCGTTATGCACCGTTCATTTCCGATCTTCGTTCCGTGATCGCTAGCAATGTGCTAGGGAATGTGCTTGATGTCGATTAGAAGCGTTGGATATGTAGTGAATCAAGATGGCGACATCCAGGACCTGTTTGATACAGATGCCAGAGCGGGAAGAGGAACTTGCTCTTGTGTGGAATGCAGATTGACAACATAGCAATTCTCAACGCGCAAAGATCTCCGGTCCGGAATATGCGGAATTCTGCAAGGTCGGTCAGAGTAAGGTTATAGGCTTTATGGAATGTGGATTGAGGCATGCCTCGTGGTGCGGGTGATCTGGCCCCATTTGGGGGCGACGAGTTTGAAGTGCATATCGATCCTGGGGTCTCGGCGGGTTCAGTGTCACTGCTGGTGAGGGTTTATCTGCTCAATGCGAGCTACTGAGAGTGCAATTGCATCTTGTGTAGTGGGCGCTAACTGTCAGACAGATTTGTCTTTATCAGATGGTGTATATGAGTGATAAGATGGTCGTCACTGCTTGGCATGAATGCTGTGAACATTACCCCATCACGGTTGTCCGATCACTCGAAACACTCGTACGGGTAGCAAACCCAGCCTCAGCAAAAGCCCAGCACTAAAATAGGATTAACAACAGCTATGATGGCCATACATACCATTCATCTCATAAACATATATACATTTCCTCGCCATCCACTCATGCAACCGGAATATACTCCCTGGCAGAAACAGCATCCGTCTTCGCCAGCACCTTATTCCCCTCTCCCACAGCCTCGGCATAATACCTCGTGTCACTCGACGCCCGCTCACTCTTCCACAACAAGGTCGTCTCGAAAGACTTCCGCGACACCACTCCAAGAGACGTCGCATTACCCCTCTCAGACTGATAGAACCGCCATGCCTTTGTCTCCGTATCGCCATTCCAAGACACATACAACCGGACAGTCTGCGACGCGTCCACATATGCAGCAATGGCCGGGACTTCTGTCGGTGTGCCCGTCCAGTTGGCCAAGAATCCACGATAACTCTCCGCCTCCTCGATGAAAGCGTGATAGACGATCTTATTGTTGGCATTGTATTCAGTGACTGCGCCTGCTTGGCCCCAATTCACGAAGATATTGTCATTAGACAGCAGCTGCGCGTTTCCTTGTGAAGCCGCCTGGATCCCATACGGGGCTGTCGCTTTGCGAAGGATGGTCGCGGTATCGCTGCTGTGGTCCAGTTCGACAATCAATGCGCGCGATACGTTGTTGACGAGGACTTCGCCGTTGCCGGAGTTGTCGAAGAAGGAGATTATCTCTTTTGTTGGGGACTGGTAGTGCCAACGCGCGTGGTGCTGGTACCCAAAGGTGAAGTTGTAGTTGAAGGTAGAGTGCTTGCCTCCGAGCTCCCAGATGATGGACCCGTCGGTGCCGTTGATCTTGAAGATGGTGCTGAAGTGTCGCGAGGATAGGAGATAGTTGCCGTCTTTGTCTTTGTCCACGCTGTTCAGGTGGATGAAGTCCCATGTCGTGCTGGAGGAGAGACCGCTGTCGCTGGTTGATGAGCCGAGAGTGACCAGGCTGTCTGGGATGTGTCAGTATAGCTCAAAGGAGAGTTCATAGACGAGACGAACCTGCGGGGTCGACGTGATCGAGAGAGTTCCACTCGAAGATCAGTTCACCAGTCTCGATGTCGAATTCTGCATTGCATTAGCGCGAACACCGGCATTGACCAAGGATGGATACTCACCCTGGAACAGACCATCACCAATCCACTGCTGCGACGAGTTCCCGCCATAAGCCGACAGATTAGCCACGGTAGGGAGATAGACCTCCACCAGCGCGGTCTTCCCGTCGATGACATTGAACTCATGAATAGAAGGAATACGATGATTTCCCGCCTTCGCAGTCACGACATGCTCATAATTCTGGTTCAATATGATTTGCTGCCCGAACCCTTCACCATGCGATGTATCCATCGTCCCCTGGAATCCCTGCAGGACAGGCTCGCCCTGGTATGTCGTGGCGTGAAAATTACTGACAAACCCTGCATAATACCCGATACCAGACCATATTAGGTCGCCATTTTTGCGGTAGATGTATGCGCCGCTCTGCTGGATATCGTCCGAGTAAGGGGCGAGAAAGACATACTCGGTGCCGTTGGTATCGGGGGCCGGGATGGTGATGTTCAGCTTGGGAGGGGAGAGGTCTGGTCGCGAGCGATATTGTCCGTCTGCTATGGTAAGGGGTGACAGAGCTGCCAGGAGCAGGCTATATTTGGTTAGATCGATCATGCCGCTACTGCTATGCTTCGCAATGCTCTCGTCCTGCTTCCGGAATCCTCCTCCATTTTCATCCCTGGACCTCCCCTTTTATGCGCCGATTTCTATCACACCATCTCTGGTGGTGTCGAGGACAAGGTTGAAGAAGTCATAGCCGGCACGATGATAACACCATCGGTGGACACTTTGCACTCATCGTCAATATCGCTTAAGCTGCAACTAGATATTAGTTCTTCAGCAAGAGAGAGTTGTTGAATCGGCTTTTACCCCCGGATCGGGTACTTGGTGGGGAATCTATTGTGCCATTGATCTTCGCGATGACGCGAGCGCGGCTGGCGATGACTACATCAACAGGTACACAAGCGAGGCCAACACATATTTTTCAAGTTCCGAAGGTTATATGCGTGGAAGCAGATACCCCGACTCCATTTTGAAAGGTAAAAGATATTGACATTGACGGTCTGTTAGTTTTGGTTATCACAGATGCAGTGTTTCCAGGAATATGGCATTCAACCTACCTGCCTGATCCCACTTTCATACAGCTGTTATCTTATCATAATCGCTCGTACGATCTCCTGACAGACTTGAACCACGGACAGGCCTCTGCACCATTCCTGTTCCTGCAATATCGATATCGCGTCATTTCATTTCGGCAGTTATCGCAAGCGTAATAGGACGCTAACTGCATGAACAAGTGACAACGGAATATCCACGCATGTGGAAGGGAATTAATGGGACCATCACTGCCTTCAATGGCAGTAGTAGACGTGATTTAGTTGGAGGAGGGCTTGGAAGTTCCCATTTCATTTTTTTCGTACGATATCGTGGTGATATGATACTTCGACTCGCAGTGACATAGTGTACTCTGGTATGGACTACTAATCAGTGAGGTAGATAAAGTGCATGTATGGCTCTTGTAAATTCGATGTCGACTAAAAGTCCAGTTCAGTTCACACAGCACGTGAAAATAAAGAGCCACTGACAATAGTAGCTATCTTCCTTTCAACTGGAACATGATTGCAGGACCCATGATCGTAATTGTATATTCCATCGGTTATTGGCTCGTTTTATGATCGCTGAAGCCGTATTACTTGGCAAATCTGTTGGAACTTGAAGGCACCGTGACTTGACGCCAAAAACTTACCTCAATATTTCGGTATACATAAGACATTGAGGACCGTGTATCATCCATCCCTGTCTTCAACATCGCAGAATCCGAAAAACCCTGATGAAGACAAGTCATGACGAGATCCTATGTCACAGAGTACCAATAGCAATACTACAATTGACAGGAGCCTATAATACTACTAGTATACGGTGCTAGGTCGAGTGAAGCCAATCGATGTGAGTGACTTTCGTTAAGATTAATATATGTTTCTATATAGGGTACGCAAAAATATACTTAGAGGAAGCCTTATGCGTACAAACAGTGGAACAGATGACCCGTACTGCTCTGGATCCAGTAACTTCTCGGTGTGGGGTATTAGCCTAAGATCTGGCTATATTGATATATTACTGTTATAAAGGAACGCTACCTCCAACTAAGGACAGAGCCGATTACCAACACGAAGGGCAAGATAACCTGCCAAGCCATCCACAACTGCAATAAATGAGAAATCCCATTCTTAATATTACATCAGAATGACTATCTCATTGTGCTTGAGAATCCATCTTCAAATCTAGAATCATAGCGATGACTCCGCCCGAAATGCCAAGCACACTATCCTGATTAGTTCCATTGCAAAGTCGTCGGGATCCGCCGACGCGTATATTATCCGTCTCCGACATCGGAGACCTAACCTGTCCTTGTAACTATTCTAACCCAAAATTTAATAGTAGTAATTATTGTCTCAGTCACTCATTCCCTCGTAAGCAAGCAAGTAAGCAAGTAAATAAGCAAACACATCAATAAGCGTAACGGTACGTCGGCGACATATCGCCCAGCATTTCTTCCTCTTCCTCCGTGATGGTCGACGGATCGATGCGACCCTCGGCAATCGCGCGGTCGCGTTTCTTGTTGTCGTGCCACACCGCTAGGAAGTAGAGGATTGACATGGCGGCGGAAAAGGCAAGGAAGGATACGCCGATGCTGTATCCAGGACGGTAGAAGGGGGCATCTTTCGAGAGGAAGGAGTAGGTGGAGATGATTCCGCCAACTGTGAGTAGGGGGTTAGTTACTGGTCGGTCGGGGGGTAAGCATAAGGGCCGTGCTTACTGTTGCCAAAACCAATCTGCCACGCCGTTCCTATACTGCGTCGACGATGGCCACCAAGGTTCATCGCGAACCAGCAGACTAATACTGGCATCGCGCTGTAGCAGCCGCTGGTCACCAGGAACAGCGCGCCGTATTGAACATGGTATTGTGAGGTGTCGTGGATGTTGAGCAGGATACCGAATCCGGCCATGGCTACCAACATCGGGATGATAGTAAACAGGAAGCGATGGCGGAATTTATCAGAGAGGTATGCGATGAGCATGGAGAAACCGAACGAGGCGGCCCAGGGTGGGATGGAGTAGAGCTGGGTTTTGACCGCTGGAAGTACATTAGCGACTGCGCTGTTATCAGAATTTTGAGGGCAAGAACATACAACTGTAGCCGTAGGTCTGGATAATGGTCGGCGCAAAGTAGGCGTAACCATAGGCTGTAACCACCTGTCCAAAGTACATCAAGCCACCGATGAAGATCTTGTCTGCACAAATCATTAGCACTGTTGTTATCGCTATCGCAGCCACGGATACCTACAGTCCTTGAAGACAGCAGCAATATCACGCCAGGTCATACTAGCATCGGCAGCCGGCTTTCCAACATCCTTCGCCAGCTTGTCGCGCAGAAATGCCCGCTCTTCCTCCGTCAGCCATTTGGCGTCTTCGGGGAAGTCGGGAACCACGAAGAAACAGCCAATGGCCACCACACAGGTCAGAACACCCTCGATGATAAACACCCATCGCCATCCACTGTATCCTCGGAGGCCGTCCATCTGTCCCAAACCGTAGGCGAGCAAGCCACCAAAGGCACCGGCGAGAGTCGTCGAGCTGAAGAAGAAACTGAAGCGCTTCTGGGCTTCACTGCGCTTATACCACATGCCCAGCAGGTAGAAGCCTATCGAGTCAGTATGCGACCATAAAATCGTGGAGAACTCGACATACACCCAGGAAAGAGGCCGGTCTCGAACATGCCCAGGAACCAGCGCGTTGTCATCAATCCTCCCCAATTCTGTACCAAACCCTGGCAGACCATGACCAGGCCGAAGCCAAACATACACAGCGACACTATAAGCACGTCAGTATGGCCCTAAATATTGCGGCGCAATACGTACACCATGTGTGCGGCTTCAACTTCTTCATTAACACGTTGGACGGAATTTCGAAGATGATGTAGGGGACAAAGAAGATGGTAAGGGCAGTGTTATATTTGGTTCCGGACTCAATATTCAAGTCGGATTTGAGACCCAAAATGGCCGCGTTACTGACATTGACGCTGCGCAATTGATGAGCTTCACGCCTTCTGAAGTCGAACGTCCAGTTCACTGGGAGTCATGCATACCGATCCAAAAATGCAAGCAGATACATGACGCAAAGACACGGCACCACATGCCAGTCAATCTTGGCCATCAACTTGCGCTCGTTGACGGAGGCGTATTGCGATGGTGCCGGCGAGGACTCGCCATTGTCAGCCACTGGCTGTTTCTCTGTAATCCGAGTCAGTCAAAATTGGGAGAGTCGAGCGCCGATCAAGTCACATCGCAGAGAATAATTCCGATTGCGGTTGGACATACCGTCAACGGTCATTTTCTATCGCGCGATCGCAAGAACGATCGTAGAACACGCACACGCACAACCGGATGAGGGCGAAAGAAAAGCAGAGTCTGAGAAAATCCAAACATGACGGCGACGACAGCGCGCGTGGCTGCAGCGGACCTTTAAACCGGAGCTGAAGGGCGGGGAAAGCTAGATCGGCCAAGCTGAACCAGGAACGACGATGACTCCTATGATTGCCAAAAAATGCGCCAATCCGAGGAGACAGTGGAGACCAGCTGGGTTGGATGAACCAACCATCCATGTCCGATTTGGAGCTGGCCACTGCGCTATCGCAGTCTACGCTGGTTTGGGTTGTGACGATCGAGTCATGCTGAATTTTTCATTTGGTCGGCTGTCTCTCTCTCTGTTTTCTGTCTTGTCCTCTGTCTCTCCCTGCCCTCGGCTAAGGGTTGAAGGATGAGGCTTGGCACCGATGTCGGGATACCTGGACTCTTATGACTGGTACAGAGTAGTAGTCTAACTCGTATATTAGCTATGTAACATCCTGATTATTGCACATAAACAATTCAACCTCGGAGGAAAGGCGAGCCTGTCGGCAAAGGTTACTTGTCGATCGCACCGAAAGGCAAGGGGGGTTCCCGGCCATGAACATCACTTGCCCGATTGGGAGCCGGTCGGTGATTCAGCTGCAGCGATCTGGAGTTCAAGCTTCATGGTGGCTCCTCTGTTCCCTCCCGTGCAGAGTTTTTGCTCGTGTGGGTTGGTCCACTGAATAGAGATTTACAGTGTCAGAAGTAGAAAGAAAACTTGTCTCCCGAGTCAGAGTGCCATAGTGTTTTGAGGGCAACATCTCAAACCCACATCGGATCTGAATCGGAGGATCTGCGATGCTCACCAGAAGAAGTAAAAAATATGGGGAAGCGGGTCTTGGAATCGTCAACAAGTTAAAAGATCCAATGAGGGCCAGTTCGATTTGCCATGTCCGCGGTACTTGCCCCAACCAGTAACGTGTCTCCAAGATGCATATGTCTGAAGGCATAAAGTACAAGATAATGATTATATAAGTTATTCATGAACAAGCAACGCTACATTATATTTATCTAGTTAACTAATCCATTGCCAATAAATACAACAGAATAACACATTCTTAGACATCATCATCATCATGATTGATCTCCCAATCCCAGCAGCGTCACCCTCAACTTTTGCTCAGGTAACACTTGTCCTCCGTCTCGATACGCACACAACTCCCTTTTTAATAACTGCCGTAAGAAGCGTACTTGCCATAGTTGCCGTAGTTCCCATAGTTCCCATATCCCGCAGCAGCAGTGGTCGTGCTAGCAGCGGAGGTGGTCGTGGACTCACTGTCCTGGTCGGGCTGGGGCTCAGCATCCCTCTTGTACGAGCCGTAGCTGGCATACTTGCCATAGTTGCCGTAGTTTCCATAGTTGCCGTAGTTCGCTGCAGTCGTGGTCGCAGACTCGGTCGAGCTGGTCGCAGAAGCAGTGCTGCTCACCTCGGGCTCCTCGTCACGCTTGTACGCCTCATAGCTACCGTAATTTCCATAGTTGCCGTAGTTGCCATAGTCGCCATAGCTGGCCGGTGCAGTGGTCGTAGGAACCGCGGTGGTGGTGGTCGAGCTAGGATCGGGCTCCTCACCACGCTTGTAGGCCTCGTAACTGCCATAGTTGCCGTAGTTGCCATAGTTTCCATAGTCTCCGTAACTAGCAGGGGCGGTAGTAGTAGGAACCGTAGTGGTGGTGGTGGAGCTGGGGTCAGGCTCCTCGCCACGCTTGTAGGCTTCATAGCTGCCATAGTTTCCGTAGTTTCCGTAGTTGCCATAGTCGCCGTAGCTGGCAGGGGCAGTGGTGGTAGGGATAGTGGTAGTGGTGCTCAAGCTGGGATCGGGCTCTTCGCCACGCTTGTAGTTTTGGTAGCTACCATAGGTGCCGTAGTTTCCATAGTTGCCATAGTTGCCATATCCCGCAGCAGTGGTGGTGGCAGAGGTAGTCGACGACACACTACTAGTCGTCTCATCCGCCTCAGGCTCGCCGTCCCTCTTGTAGGCTTCGTAGTTTCCGTAGTTTCCGTAGTTGCCATAGTTGCCGTAATCTCCGTAGCTTGCAGGAGTCTCGGTGGCCGTGGCAGTGGAAGTCTCCGTGGCCACAGGACGGGCAGTAGCAGCGAGCAGGTGGCTGCTCAGCACCAGGAGAAGACCCTTAGAAACAGAATGCATCATGTACAAGGAGATGAAGAAGTATGATTAAAGTTTAAGAGAGGGGATTGTGATATTCTGGAAGATCTTGGGATTTGCATGAGACTGGGGAATACACGCGGCCATATTTATAACTTCTTCGTCTCCCTGCTTAACACCTTGGCATCCATTTTTAGCAGAATGCCAATATCTCCCATCGTGGAGTAAGCGTCCTGCCATGGCGTACCGGCATGATTGGCCAAGTCTCGGATTGTGCCATCTCTCGAAGCTCTATCTCGAGAGTAGCCGAGGACCGGCCTCAGTCCAATCACGGCGACACCCCGAGATGACCAAGTGGCGCTGCGGATGCCAGTGTTACACTCATATGCCTCACAAGTAGGCACCCCCTCATTGCGAGCTGATGCATCCACTTCCCTCTCCGGGATAAGAAGGGGCTTGGAAGTTGACCTAGATCGCGGCGATGACCCATCGTGATCCGCCATCAGGCGGCCAATATAGGGTGTTAATAATAGCGTGCAGATGGTTTAATGACGGTGAATCCGGGTTTAATCTCGGGAGTAAGGCATCTTTGCGTCATGTCTCAGTTGGACGAAAGTAAGATGTCGAGCTGTAAGGCGGGCAGTGAGCTCGTATTGAGGATCTCCAGCGATCCATCCACTCCGGAAACCCTCATTGGGCGGCCGAATGAGACAACGTCTGCGGCCAAGCGGAGGGTGTCTTACTTGGAACAAATAACATCACCGCCAGGATGAGCCTCTCCGCACCTGCACGAGCCTGGTTGTCTCACCAACCACTCGGATGAGTGTTACACCCGTCACTTGGTCCTCCCAACGGCGGGTTTGGCTTCGGGAGGATATTATTAGCATCGGACCTGGCGGAGGCATAGATGGGCCCATTGGCCCTCCTCCATAGGCAACCGAGAATAAACACTCGTGCTGCGCTCTTTTTGCCGAAGAAGAAGGCTCGCGAAGTTGTTGCTCATTCTCTTTTGGTCTCGAAAGAGTTGTTCCTAGATACCATGAATTCTGCGCGCAACACCAACTCTTTTGACGACAAGATGAACACCTCGGAGCGGTCCGACTCGGCCGATCGCGAGAGACTTCTTGTCGATGAAGAAGATGTTCACTGGTCGGAGAAGAAGAGTGTGCGATCGGGGCCTGGAAGATGGCTGAACATCATTTTCGTCGTTGTCATTGCCATAGTGTCGTGTTTGGTCGGCATCTTCGTCGGCCACAACCAAGGAGATTCAGACAAGGCGTGCACGCGGCGCATCACCCAGCACTGTACGTCCTAATTCCGAGACTGTCATTGAGAGTCAAAAAGGGAGGAAATCAGAACGTTGAGCTAACGCGACCGTAGCACCCGTGATATCCAATGTTGGGCTCAACTATCACAAGCAACAGTTTAACGGGTCGCTCCTCAAAGAAAATATCTTCCGACAAGATGCCAGCCCCGAAGTGGATGCAGCATGGGAGTCTCTCGGTGCCAACTGTTGGTTTCCTTTCACATCATGAAGTGAGTGAGTGGAGTTGGCTGATCGTAGTCCAGACCGATCCATTCGCGTGCCTGCCGAAGAAGCCGAGAAATCAGGACTCGCTCCCGACCAGGTTAAGATCAACGAGAAGTACGGAGGTGGATATCCTGCTAATGTGGAGGGATTTCACCATCTTCACTGCTTGGTATGTTAGACAAGGTAAAGGACAATATAGGTTGTGCGACTAACGGGTTACAGAATCTCCTACGCCAATCCCTTTACTACAACTACGACTACTACCATGACCTTGGCAAGGGCGCCTTCACCAACAATGACTACGTTGTCCGTCGCCACGTCAGTACGTTTTCAATTCTACTTATTTCGTTTCAAATCAGTACTAACGTGGATAGCTCATTGTCTCGATATCATCCGCCAGCAGCTGATGTGCACCGTGGACGTGGGAGTCCTGGGTCAAGTTTGGGTCCACCCCGACCACCCCGAGCCCTTCGTCGACTTCAACACTGAGCACAAGTGTCGCAACTTTGAGGAAATCCGTGAATGGGCGGAGCGAAACCAGCTTCCAGAGACTGTTCCTATTGACTTCCTCCAACCCCCGAAGATCGGGGATAGAGTGTATGAGGAGATTCCATGATGGTTACTGCTCACCGTATATAGAATGTACATATAAATGTCTTGATGTCAATGAACTAAGGAAATGCGGTCCCTGCGTAATGTAAGGCGACTCTGTGAAACGTTTGGGCTCAAACTCCAACCATTCAACATTCCCCGAGATAGGGAATCTGGGACAAGCGGACCATGGACCTTTGGAAGCCTAATGAAATCAGGTTGCAGCGGATTGAGTCATAAAATTTGATGTGACAAATTGAGTTTGGTGATATTATAAAGATAGGATTGAACGGGAATGGTAGTAGTGGAATTGGTTCGTAAATCCTGCCTGGAGGTGGACAATTAATCAATGCTCCCAGGGGTCGGCACAATGTAAAACAGCCCATTGCACTTTCCACTAGATCCCTGGTTGCTCGCATGTATACCAAATCCGGCAGTCCTGAATGGCACCAGGCGTGAATGTGGCTTGACTGGCCGGATAGGGCTGATCAAGGTTACGTTGATCCGCCGCCGTCCCATGGTTGTTACCTTTGAAGGGTTTGACCCAGGAGATTGAGGTTGCAGTCTGATAATCTGAAAGACAACCAGTACAGAGGCTTCCAATCGCTGTAAATGTTCTGGCTGTATACCAGAAAAGTCGTGCCGATAAGTTCTACATGTGGCGCCTGATTCACGACTAGAATCATTCTAGAAGGAAGCGCCCTCCTGTAGGGCTGCCCAAGCCCTTCACAACGTCGAGGATCGTCGGCACCTACCCCGCATCGGTGAAAGATATCTATCTGCAACCGAATTATCCTCTCAGGTGCCATGCTTTCTTCGTCGGCAACTCCGTTGGTACGTCAAATCGAACTTTAACGATCTGTACTGCATTGCTCCACTCGATCGGAATCATGGGCCCTGCTATCCCTGTTATTGATTTCGCTCGTATGTAGAAGAACAGATATGTCTAAAAGAACGTACTAACTGTCCCCGCAGCCTTTCATGGGGGCAGCAATGAAGACCGACAACGCTTGAAGAATGAAATACATCACGCCTGCAAAGACCTTGGATTCTTCCAACTATGCAACCACACCATTCCACCCGAACTACAAACAGCTATTCTAGAGCAGTCCAGGGATTTCTTCCGTCTACCGGTGGAGACCAAGGTGAAATACGATAGGGGTAGGTTCACAAGAAACATCCACACCGGTGCCCACTGTTTAATAAGCTCCTAGATAATGACAGCTTCAACCGTGGATATGAACGCTTTCGCGCCCAGAACTTCGAGAAACGAACCGCAGGTGACCTAAAGGAGAGCTTCTTTCTTGGTCGACACCTCCCACTAGATGACCCGATGTCCAAGCCGGCAAATTCGGCCTGGGACCCAACAAGTATCCTGTTGAAGTGACAGACCCGCAGCTCTTCCGAGACACGGTGGATCGGTACTATGGAGCCGTTCCCAGTCTCACAATCGACCTGATGACTGTCATTGCAGAAATGGTGGGCCTTGGTTCAGATGCTCTACGCAGGTTCTGTGCCAAGCCCATTGCTACACTTCGCTTGCTTCACTACCCCCCTCAAGCTCCTGATGCGTCCGAGCTGGAAAGAGGTGTGCATGCCAACCCTCCCGCATTCGGCTCCAACCAATATCGGGGGTACCACTGATAAACTAACTTTCCTTGCAGGCATCGGGGCTCACAGCGACTTTGGTGCTATTACCATCCTCCTGCAGGACTATGTCGGGGGTCTACAGGTTTGGAGCCGGACATCGAACGAGTGGGTGGATGTGGTGCCTGTGCCCGGCGCAGTGGTAGTCAATACGGGCAATATGATGATGCGCTGGACAAATGATCGGTATATGTCCAACCTACACCGAGTTATCAATACATCGGGAACTGCGCGCTACAGCGTTCCGTTTTTCTTCGATGGCAACGCAGATTTTCTGGTCGAGTGCCTGGAAAGCTGCCTCGAGCCAAGCGAACAACCCAAATACGGCCCGATTACTGTGAACGACTGGATGGTTGGCCGCTATGCGGATACCTTTGGGGGTGGCGAGGTCAAGAGCGAAAAGGACCTTGTGAGCTTGGAGTAATAACACCAGGACACATGTGGTCGAGGCGAAATAATCATGGGCAAAGCGCACGGTTCTTTCTATCAACCGCGGAGAAGCATGAGGATCCTGGGCATAATTCTACCTCAAGGATGGTTAGTCACATACCCAAACCACTGGGTACCAGGGAAGCAAGGCGCGGCCCGAGCGAAGCACATCTGACTATCGAGTTTTGAGAGAAAGTAAGTAGAATTGGGACGATCCACGATTGAAGCATCAGGGATATTATTGCCTTTAGTGATCAACCGTGTAATGCACAGCGGGCCTATGACAGAGCCGGCTATATCGAGGGGATAAAGTATCCACCCGTGCAGCATAAGAGTAGTGACAACTAATGATCCAGCATTTCAGCAAGATTAGATGATCCGAATACTTTCTGCCTACAGGAACCCAATACACGCAATGGGAAATTCCGACGTTGGTAAAGAAACATGAATCGTGTCGTCAAACATTGCTGGGTGGCTTCAGAATGCATTGTTCTGTGTAACGTGGCCGGTGGAGGACCCAGCAGCACCGGCTGCACGGATTTAGTAAGTGTCGAGGTCGTAGATGTCACCAAGATATCGATATCCCAACTATTTGCAAGAACCGACCGTGAGGGATGGGGGGAGCAGGCCCAGTACCTGCTTGAGCCCCTTGGAAAGGCCCGGATTTAAGTTAGCAGTCGGGATATGAAGTGCAAGCAATTGGATCGACTCGAAACGTCATGCTGCAAGTGCGGGCCCCACCCAAACCACATTGGAGATAAATCCGGATTGTTTTAGCGGGTTGCCATCGGCACAGGGTCGCCTCTGACAGGCGCGTTTTCTTTCCGGACCAATTGATACTACGTCAACCATGTTGCCCCGGAGTTTGACCTCGACCAGCTTACTACTTTGTATATTCTGTGGCCCCAGGCAATCCGGTTTGAAGCGGATATCTTCCGTCTCTCGTCCACCCACCCCCCCCCCCCCCCAAATCAAATTTTTTGCCCCCAATGCCTGCGTTTAGATCCCTGCCGGATATATTATCCCTACGACCCGACTTGCGCGTTCGTCTGTGATTTCCCCTTTGTGTGGCGCCTTGTGGTCGATCGAGAAAACACCGTTGATCAACCTTATCGAACCTGCTCAGTGCTGTGATTTAACGGACGGTCTGGCTCCCTCCAATCAGCGCTCGTGATTCGCATCACTGGGCGTGCCTTGCAAACCACCCACATTATCAACTTCGTATAAATAGCAGCCGTGATCACCATCCATTGCGCAGAACCTTAGTGGCTTATTTTTGTATCTGCATACTATCTTAATTGTGCATCAATATTCCAGTTCACCACTGTTCACCTCTCCAATCCCTTCCCCTAAACGCCCCAATGGCCGACGTGAGAATGTCCGCCGACTTGAACCTCTACGGCCCCCTCTCAGGACCAACACCCACCACTGACGAGACCTGGCCTGGCTCCCTTCCTTTCTATCTCGATAACACTATTCCCCAGGACTGTCTTTCTCTCCCTCTGTTCGAAGACAACAACCAATGGCTGCTCAATTCCTTCGAACCGCCCGTGTCCTGGGCCACTGGACCCGCTCTCCGAACCAACCCCACCGCTAGCTCGGACGCCAGCTTCATTGCTCCCTGCCAGACCATACACAATCCTACCAATGATTACGAGCAAAAATGTTCGCCGATGCAGGCCACCTTTCCTTTGGTACCGGCACAAATGCCCCCAGCTCCTATGCACGAAATCACTTCGCGGGGTAGCATCACGAGCGTCAGCAGCGGTGGCAGCGCCGACAGCAATCAATCCCGGTTCAGTATTTCCAGCTACAGCAGCAGTAACGAGAGCCCGGTATACAGTCGTCGAGGGAGCTCCAATCGACCACCCACCCTGGGATCTGAAGTGAACGAGCGCGAACGACGCAAGCGGGAGCGTTTCCTTGAGCGCAACCGCGTGGCTGCCAATAAATGCCGCAAGAAGAAGAAGGAGCATGCCAAGCAGCTCGAGAGTCGCTGCGAGACGGTCTCGCGGGAGAACACGCTCCTGGAAAGTCAAGTGGATCACCTGCGGGGCGAAATCTTGAACCTAAAGAATGAGCTGCTGCGGCACTCCCACTGCGGGGATGAGAGGATTAAAGATCATTTGGCGAAGATGGTGAAGCAGCTTTCGGATAAAGCTGGTACGACAACTCAGAGTCCCGAGGAGAAGAAAGAGTCATTACCTCCGACAAAGAGTCCAAAGCAGGAGCAGGAGCAAGAGATGACAATGGATCTTGAGGATTTGGTACAGCTCCCGGCTGCTGGGGACGGTTCAGCAACAGAGGGGCAAAAAGATACGGAGTGAAGGTCTAATTCTGAGATCGTTGATGGCCTGTACATGATGGCCTGCGATGATTTGATTAATGTCTATATGATGAGGCGTTGTGGATATTTTTGATTCCTTTCCCCCTTCCTACGTCCCTATCTCTTAACCCTTTCTAATGTCTTTTTTCTTTCCGCTTCCTCCTTGTTACCTCTCTACCTTTCTCTCCTCGGGACCTTCTCAGAGATACATATTCACGGCGACGGAAAAGTACTGTTTACGAGCTAGATGATAGATACGATTGATGATGATGGCGGAAGCTAGCGTGCTAGCGATGTTTCTGTTTCTAATGTGGCGAGCGGGGTTTAACGGGGCGCAAAAGTAAACTTCAATCCAAGTATCTTGTACTTCGATCACCTCATGCTTGCAAGTAATTCGTTAAGGCTGAATCAATTAAATATATCCATTGTCGTCATGATCGTCAACGACGGGTCGAGTGGCCAATAGTGTTAGCGACGGGGCCACCACTTACTCAATGGACCTTCGGAGATGTTCGCCATCCAATAGTACTTTCCATTCTACAACTACTGTAACTGCTTGTACTAGCCTCCGAAACTCTATTATGAATAGCAATACAATATTACTCCAATTCATCAATGCCACAATCAATACAATTTATCCTCATACTTGACTAATAATACATTCAATTCATATCACATAAAAACTCTTCCCCAACAAGGCGGATCATAATGTCATGGTACTTAGTATGAGTAGATTTACTCCTCGGGCATATCGCCCCCAGTTCTCGATCCTCCCTTCCGACCAGCCTCTCTAGCCCGAGGATCTCCAGGCTCGAAGCTCCCTCCGGATGACATTCCTCCCTTGTGGCCGGCTTCCCGGGCCCGTTCTTCGCCGGGCTGGAAGCTTCCACTGGAGGCTTGGCCGCCCATGGAGGCGATGTTGCGCTGTCGGTCACCACTTTGATTAGTACTATGCTTCGTTTATGGAGTAAAAGAAGGGAATGGGGTCAACGTACCTGCTTGTCCTCGTCCATGGAGGCGAATCCGCCCGAGTGGCTGGACTGGCCACCCTTGCGGGCGATGTTCTCGACTTCTTCCTGCGGGCGGTTGGCGAAGTTGCCGGGGTTGGGGTTGGAGGCCATTTTGATTGTTGTGTGTGTGTGTGTGTGTATAGAGTGTGTTTGTGGTATGCTTTGAGATAGATGTTTGTTGATTAAGATGGGAGAGTAAGTTCCAGGATTGTGGTAGGCTATTTGTACGTCTGTCGTACTCTGGATAATGATGCTTGTGTCTAAGTATAGATATCACAATGACTATGTACTGATGTCACTGTTAATGCAGCAACCATGACCGTGAATGTGGTATACATGGTATAGTTAGCCTCGATTCAAGTTTCGGGGAATTCTCCAGGGTCCTGGCTGCATGTGGTCTACATGGTATGTTCCTACTTTGGGTAGGGCAGGGACAAGGTACAATTGTTGGTTGTGAAGTCATTCGGCATCATATTGTGGGAACGTTATTGTTTCTGTAACAGAGGGATACGGGCAGATCATTACCCTTGCTTTTCTCTCTGTTGCTGCTCTAGAAAAGTCTGGAAGGTTGGCTGTAGTCATTGTGATGGTGGTGTTATACTGTGGACGGTCTGGGTTCGGTCGGTGGTTGTACGGTGGCACTGTGCTTGAGACTAGTGGATAGATGGCGGGGTTAGTGATCGATCAGATACTGTGTACAATGATAGTGTGTTGATGTGATCTCCTTCCGTGCAATTGCCCTCTAATGGAAGAGATGCAGACAACCCTTGTTGTTGCTGGACAGTCGAGAAGAGGTCCGTCCGGTCTGGCCAGGGCCTCCAGATAGCACAGATAAGCTGTGGGGCAGCCTCACTCTGAGAAAAAAGGTGGACCTGACCCGCGTACAAAGCCTCATTCCTTCTCAGCGGTGGTGTTGTCTGTTGAAAATTTTAGAGACCACTATTATGGGCCTCGATCAAAACATTTCTCCACGACTGTTACTCTCATGACATCACCGTTCAACATCACCATTACCTCATCAATGTCCCCTACCAATCAAGCTGCATCATGCGTCCCCTGGGTCTGAAAGCCAATTTGAGCATTGGTTCCACAACTTCCCTGTCATCCATCCAAAGGGTCTCTGGGACTTCTGACTGGCAGGGCTCTTCTGCCGGAATACGGGACGAGAGAGCCGGTGCCCACGGGTGATCCCCGGTCTGTGCGATGTGCTGCCGTTGAGCTCTGGCCACTGACCATGCGTGCGCTATGTTAGGGATAGCATGTGCAAAGTATATAATTTCTGTCATTGATTATTGCTAATTTGGGTCCCATAAATGGTCTGGTGCTTAAGTCTTTTCTATATTCTTTCTATAGTGCCTTTGTATCAGACATGGATGCTACAAACCAAAAGTATCCGTGCAACGCTCGGAATGCCAACGCCAACATTCCCCCCCAATTCCACCCTATTTCACCGGTCGCGCTCCACCAAATAGTACTGAATAGTAACAGAACTCGATCAAATCACTTTTTCCCGACGAATTGACCAAAATACTGGTCCAATGCTTCCACATCTCCTAAGCTCCCTAACCAAGCAACATGTTGATCCGGACGGCAAAGGACTAGACACCCAGTCTCTTCTCGTATGCCGTACCTTGCATAGGCATGCCCACAAGCTTCGCCGTATGAGCCATCGTCCGCAAACACCCTCGAGTAATCCCATCCCCACGTCTCATCGAACGGATGGAATATTTCCGGTAGATCCAGAAGGTTCACAGAAGTCCTCGGGCTGGGATGTACCACAATCGTCTCGAGAAGGGGACAATACCGGTTCGATTTCAGGTCTTTGTGCAGACATGGCAGATGAAGCTGCTCGTTGAACTGGTTCGCAAAATTGGCCAGCCGACTCTGGTTGCTAGGTTCACGCAAGTCGCCTGGGAATACGAGCAGCCTCCATGCTCCATTACTGGTCAACCTGCTAACCAACTGCATGCTGATCCCGTCGGCCTGGCCCACGACTGGATACGATGACAGGCGCATACCGATCTTGATATTTTTTGCGACCGATGTATCCGCCTTCTTCCCGGCGATTAAATCATTCGAGCCATATGTCACCCCCGTTCCCGTCATGAAATCGATGTATTGGCCACGGACGCGCTCGACACCTTCGGTCACGCTCGTGTCTTGTTCGTACGCTTTAACTAACTCGGTATCCAGCTTGAGCAGCTCTTCGCCAACTGGCCGTCGTTCAGATTCGTATGTATCGAGTATACTCGGAGAAGCTTCCCCTGTGATAACGGAGCATAGCTTCCATGTTAGGTTGTATGTATCCTGCATCGACACGTTCAGACCCTGACCTCCTTTCGGTGAGTGCGTATGCGCTGCGTCGCCGGCCAGGAAGATCCTGTTGTTATTAGCGTATGCTTGGGTCGACCAATGAGTTCACCAACCTGTCATGTGGCCTATACGTTTCCACTAAACGTTGACCTATCTATTCCCAGTCAGCTATGGCCACCTGCCTCCATTCAATACTCACCTTGTAGATGGACCACCAGTCGCAGTGCTTATAGGACAAAGAGTAGGGCTTCATGACTTTCGCCATGGCTCCCACAATTTCATCAAGTGATACTTCGGATCGGCCTTTGCCCTCCACACTCAGCCTCCCATCGCCTTTGGGATAGATGTAAAAGCGAACCAGCCGATTCTCCCTGGGTGCGGTCATGATGCTGCCACGGTCCCCGGCATGTATAGCACAGGACTGACGGATGTCCGCTAAAGCCTGTCAGTCAAGCATACATTTTCAGCAACTGACCAAACTTACGGAAATCAGTGATCGGGGCGATATCCACAACGCCCCAAGTGGTATCTCCAGAACACACCCGCATCGGTACCTGCAGCTGCTCTCTGGTCCAGCTCCTCGCACCGTCGCAACCGATAACATACCGCGCGCGAATGGTCTCAACATCACTGCAATGCCCATTGACCCCTATAACATCATCCAAGTCAGCATGCAACCACCATCAAAACCGAGAATAACCATACCATTCTGGCCAACCCTCTTCACCCCAACAACAACCGGATACTCATCCTCCCCTTCCTCTAGCAGCTCCAACGTCTCCGCTTGTTTCCCGTACTCCACCTCCACCCTCCCCCCCTGCTCCAACCCCAAATAATCCAGGATAATCTGCTCAATGATCCCCTGATTCAGCAACACCATATTGTATCTCGACTTATCCGTCTGAGCCGAGTCCATCTTGTGCCTCGTTATCCCACTCGTATGCTTATCATAGCCCTACGCAGCGCCCGAATTAGTGCTGTGCTCTTTTTTCCCACAAGGATCTGAACTGGAGATGAAGCTTAATGCGATAGAGTATATAAAAATTAATAGGTTATTTACCCAGAAACACATCTCCGCATGTTGCACACCTTTCCGTATTATCGGATCAACTACCCCGAAACTCTCGAGGATCTCGAGTGTTCGGCTCTGTATCCCGTCTGCGTGCCCGGTTGCTGTTCGGCTGGGGTGCTTGTCGATGATTCGCGTTGTCATGTTCGTGTATTGTGAGGCCCAGCAGGCCGCCATGAGGCCGGCTGGGCCGGCGCCTATGATCAGGAGGTCTGTCGTGGAGGGAGAGTAGTTGGGTGCCATTGCTAATGGGTGTCGTGTCATGCCATTGGGTAGGTAGGGGGTAATATATTATATGTAGATCCTGGGGTAACCTGTACAACGAATGAAAAATTTAGTATTTCTTACGTTATATTGCAAGTCTATCGCAGGCAATTCTTGCGTTCCTGATGGCTTCTGATAAAGTACAGAAGTGGCGTCACAATTGAGTTCGGGCGTTTGGTTAAGGTGACTACCACATCGAAACGTCATGGATCGTCACTGTTGATGACTCTCTGTCGCCAAATCTCTTGATCATACTTGCTCTATTCCGGCTGCTTATTCTGAATATAGTTTCTATTGTGGATCGCCAGATTGTTGTATATGTTGTAATTGATCGCCGTGTTCTTGGGGTGACATTGGCGCTGGGTTGAAAGTGGTACCCAAATAGGCAACAGAAAGACCGGATGTATTTTCCACCTCGACCTGCTATTATATCATTGGGGAGCTCAAACCTATTTAATGTTAGATCACGGCAAAAAATTCAAAAATGCTAATCGCTTCGATATAAGTCATAAACTCACCGATCCCACGTGGTCCGATCGGAGTCGTGACCCTCGGGTATAAGTCACCGGTCGCATCGTCAGCGATTCGGGTACACAGAGAAGTTGAAATGTGGCGCTGAAGAAACGATGGCAATAAAACAAGAATTTTAACGCGAATTTTTACGCGTCTGGGGTATCAAGACCAAGCACATCATACACAGTATGTGCCATATCAGCTCTCAACGACATCACGCGAACCGCACTATCAGCCCGACGATAAGCCCGACGAGAGCCCCAATGAGGATCCCACCAGCCATATATAACAGCGAACGGCGCCACGACCAGTTCACCCAGTGTAACTCGATCGGTAACTGACAGCCTGGGTTCATGGGCGCGTTGGATTCAAGGGTTGGCCCTTTGGCGCAGCTGTCGGGCTGAGCGGAAGTCATGATTTAGTTCGGAGAATGTCCTTCGTCAAGGCTGTCAGTACTTGATGAGTTCAGATATCCCCGGGGCTAATATATGTACAGCACTGGCATGCGATTGTTGTTTTATCTGCAATCACCAAGAGAAGATGCCGACAGCGGGCCTCCTTCACTTTTGTAGTCAAACCAACCACCCGCATCTGCACCATTTCCGTATGACTTTGTCCTCCATCCAAACAGGCCATACAGAATGGAATGTGGGGTGGGTTGAGTTGTGAGCCTACAGACGTGCTGTCTTCCTTGGCTTCTTGGCATCGCATCTCATATGAGTGCCCTACGGGAATTTTGACTTTGACGGTTCGTTGAACCCTAAGTTGGAGACGCCCGGCTGTGGGTCATATCGAGTTCGTCGGTGGATGGTGGGAATGGGATCATACACCAAGGATGGGTCCCGCAGAGGTTCATATGGATCTGCGTTCTCATTTGTAGTCAACGGAGGTAATGTCTCGGAGGACATGAGACCGGGCAGTCATAGCAGGACATACTAGAGGCGCTGGTTCAGGGCCCATCCCCTGCTGCCAAGCGTATAGACAGAGATGGTAAAAGCCAAGGGTGTCCTAGCAGTTTCTCTCAGTTGACAATGCGCATGGTCGGAATATTGCGTATGCTAAGGAGTAGCGCCCGGCCACTTTGCGGAGACCAATATAAAAAGTTCCTAGTACGGATGTTTGGGGATCCGGTCGGTACCAGGCCTGATGCTATGCTGATGTTGAAGGTAATGGCAGCTGATATTGTCAGAGAACATAACAAGAACTAGGTGTATATATGTCATGTCGACTTTTTCGGAACTGATATTTCACTATCGCGATCGTCTTAACTTATAATCGTAGATCAATTTCGACGCCGCAGTTGGATGAGAACATCCTCCCACAGGCTGTAGTGGAATAGAATCAAGACCATACATCCTCGATTTCTCAGTTGTAGCAAATAATAGCCCATCTTTGGATGGACCCCGCAAAAAAACCGTGGCAATCTGAGAAAGTCACCTCAGCCTCTTGGTCGACTTCGCGCAGCCTCACGGCAGGGAGATTGAACAGCCGAGTTGAGGGCAACAAGGATTGTTGTTAGATTATACTCTAATATCGAGAGCAATGGTATAGTTGACGAAGAGACCGAGTAATCCAACCTCGCCGAATTCGCATAGCTTGCAATGATTGCAATGCCCGACGGGTAAAACCCTCAATCGCAAATCGGCCACCCCCAGATAATAGACAATGGGCCGAAGAGCCAGTAAACTCACAGGGTGCTTTGTTTATTCCATATCTAGAGATAGCAAACCAGCTTATCTGGGCTTCTTTTCCAACGTCATACACCCAGCATACCCCGTAATGGAACGCCAGGCTTTCACGCGGTTGTATTTTTAGAGAAAATCATTTTATCGCTCCCCAGCAGGACTTTCACATATCAAACCTTATGCATGTGACCAAGTCAGCAACAATGCGTGAGTCACTCTACCCTTTTGGTACATATTGCATACAATAACTGACAAAGTCCAAAAGTTGTATATATACTCATCAGTCAATTCAGTCACCCGCAGGCCCGCGCCCGAGAAAATCGAAACAGAAGCATTGCCCAGAAGGCTCATACAATGGGAGTTTAAGTTGCCGGACCAAATGCAGCACTGGCCCCAGAGGGTTGCGTCGTCTTCGACATGCAGCAATAGGTACAATATCGAGCATTAGGTATGTGTACAGTGCATATGTGACAAGCAGATACCTCTGACGTGAAATATCTAGCATGTCCTCATGGTCGCCACGCTTCCTTCAGGATGTTTGTGCCGCCATGCTCGAGGACAAGGCATGGATGGACAACGTTACGAACAGAAAGACCAGGCTTGTGTTGGGGAAACTATCGCTTTGCTACATCCTTCTTGCGTGAGCATGGCATTCGGTATTGCGAGTCATCTGTATTTTGAAAGACCCCCGACAGGCTTGATTGTGCTGATATGCGGAAAGTAACGCTGGCTTATTAATTTGGGTTGACCCTCGCCATCTATTGTTAGGCAAGTCTGCTACACCAGAGTCAGACTACAGGCAGCTGAGGGTTACATTGCCTGACACTCGCTTATACGAACGGCGTGAGTTGAGGATCACTGACATCCGTGCTAACAACCGGGTTATGATTGCGCTTGGAAGCGTATACATGCCAGAAGAGCTCGGTTTGTTCCGAATCACGTTCACTCCCGGGAAGGAAGCCTTGGGAGAAGGATTAGAGCGGCTGTTGAGATCCATCGCAGAGGCTGAGGCGGAAATTTATGGGAAATGAAGGACTATGCCGTTTGAAGTATAGTGAAGCGCACTGATTGCTATCTCGGTCCGTAAACCACACTCATTCACCACTAACAGCCTTGTCGGCCTTTACCGTCCCACAATTCCCCTCCGCTCCTTGGATGGCTGCCTGTGGTGCTGTCATCTTTACTTGGCTACCTAAGTCGCACTCTCCAGATATTTTTATTATCTCATCGTCTGTGTTATCGTGATCACGATCGAGTCCAATCACCTCGGACCATCTTTGCTATTTATAGGCTAGTCCGGACAGGGATTCCTTCTCGCCTCTGGCCGCGATAATGACTTGGTCGCATTAGGGCATAGTACACAGTTACACTATAGGACAAACCCTGGCAGATTGCAGGTTCCCCTCTCTCTTTGAGTAACAATAGGACCAACTGGAAATCAGGCTGAGAGCCGGACTAAACACAGACCCACGGCGAAGGCGGGCGCAGACCTGAATGGTGCAACCAGGGATTTTAGATCAAAGCGACCCCACCAAGGGAGATTAAAATCATGTACAAGCATATTCCAATAGTATCTAGCTAGGTAGCTAACCAAGTGACTACTGTGTGGTACAGTCGCGCACCAGCTGAATGAGCCACGACCCTGGTTCCCACACAGCCAGCATCCCGACGGGCCCTTCACCCGAGCCTCACACCAACAAGGACCCCAACCGATCGCAAATGGCCCCCAATTCACTAAACTGAAGCCAACTCATCTGGCGGACAAAACAATAGGGATTAGCTGGACTAGCTGGTTCAAATGCCCATCCGCCATGCACCGCCCCTTAAAAAACCGTTGGCCCAGGAAGCCTTTCCCTCCTCACTTTTTCCTTCCAAGAAAAACAAACCCCCAAACTGCCTGCATCTGACCCCAGCCAACCATGGCTGCCAGGTCGTCGGATGGGCTTCGTCTTCTGTCCGATGTCAACATCCCGGACGCAAGATTGCATGACGACTCATCCGGCGAGGACGATAAAAGCGTAATCGATCTGCGCGATCTCGGTCCGGGGCCACGCGATTCGTTTCGTAGTGATTTGACCAATACACCACCCAAAGGTGTCGATCATGGTGATCAACCTCATCCTCTGCCACTGCCGACCAATAAACCCAGGCGTCGGTGTTCGGGTCTCTTCGTCACTCTTATCGTACTGGGCGTGTACACTACCATCCTGTCCGGCGTCTTCTTCGTCGTCGCGTGTATCAAACCATACTATGGCAGTTTGATCGGCAACAATGCCGGACTCACTGCCTCGTCCGCATCTTTGCTGAGCGCCCTGTTGGCCAAAACGATCGAGCTATCCTATGTCACAGTTTGTGTTGCATTCCTGGGCCAGCTGTTGAGTCGGCGGGCTCTCGCGCATGGGTCCGAGGGCGTCAGCATCGCTGACATGACGCTGCGAACCTGGATCACGCAGCCGGGGTCGCTGCTGATACAGTGGGATGTGCTGCGCTATGTCGGGTGGACGACGCTTGGTGGGTTGACGCTGATTGTTGCTCTGGTTGCAATGCTGTACACCACTGCTGCTGAAGCCCTAGGTTGGTCACTCTGTCCCCTAAATAATAACGGTAGACATACTTTCTGACTGTCTGCGCTCCCCCGACTGTAGTATCTCCAAGCTTGGTTATGGGCCCCGTCCAACCCAGACTTCTGCAGGGCAATGTCTACACCGAATACTCCAACCCTTATTACTTGGAAGACGCCTGCCAGACTCCAATTACGGTCGATGTTGACCCGACACACTGGAACGAGACCTGTCTGGAGATGGAGATAGCCGGCCGCTCATACCACGACTACTATCAATACTTGCAAGGTTGGGCTGAAATGCTGAAAGCTGGAAATAGCACCTCAACCGCCCTCCCTTATCGCCCGCAGCCGCATGCCTTGCTTTACGACAACACCACAGTGACCGGTCGCTGGATCGAAATCGTCAACACAACCGCCCTATCCGAACAACATGGTCGCGTCGTCAACAATGTCACTGCCGCCTACCCACACGGAGGCCTCTTCGCCGCTGCACGCAACCCCGCAAATAAGATCCAACAGCCAGTTGACATGTCTGGAGAGGGCAAGTACATCATCCAAGCCTCTCTCCCATCGCCCGCTATTAATGTGATGTGCGTCGGTATGTCGCATGACGAGCTGAAACCCCTCATCTACACCGAGTGGCCCAATCATAAGCCCTTCAACGCATCGACGTGGGCAACCGCCGCACCAACATACTCGATCAATACGAACCGCACCGTCGTCGATGACCTCTTCGGCTTCAGTGAGGACCAAGGCGCCCCTGTCTTCCCCATCTACCCCGAAGCCTACAACACCATCCTAAATCCCAAAGTCGACAACACAACCTCCATCTACATATTAGGCAGTTCTCCTCCAGGTCACGATCCGAAGTACGTCCTCTGCGGACTGCGCGGGAAGCTTTCAGGTCGCTGCTCCGCGCAGTACCAGGTCGATCCGAGCGGCGGGGATTTGAGCTCACGCTGCGAAGACGCTGCCGACAGGCTGCAGTACAACCGGATACATCGTAACACATCGGAGGATCAGTACCTGATAAACTGGAAAAGCGTGGCATGGGAGTGGGCAGACACGGTGACTCTCGCGTCAGGCATCCAGGGTGACGACGCCGCTATTGAACGCACGCTGATGGAGTTGGTTCCGAGCTTCGATAACACTACTAATAGTTCTTCGCTGGATCCTCGACTTCCCTCGCTCAGTGAGGCTTTGGCTGTCTTAGCAGGGAGTACGGCCCTCCTCGGTAGCCAGTACTCTGCATTTGTTCCAGATTGGAATTACTCCGAGCCTAGTCTCGATACCCCTGTCGTGCAGGTATTCAACGCGACACTGCAGTCCGCCGGCTATGCGTCCGGCCGGACGAGTGACTGGCAGCAGGTGTTCTATGTTATTCTCGCTGTGGTCTTCCTGACGAACATCATGTGTCTGGGTTTCATTCTCTTCCAGGGACGCGGGCAGTTAGTGACAGATTTTACGGAACCACCGAATCTGTTCGCTTTAGCTGTGAATAGTCCGGAAACTGTGCATGCGTGGTCTGGAGCGCAGCTGGGAGCGGCGGGGACCCCGCGTTTGCGCGATCGATGGCATGTCGATATGCGCGAGGAGAGCGGGCATTATTATATTCGTACCCACGGACAGTTGCAGCACTTTGAGGATAGGGCGGCGAACTAATGGATATGATGTGATGATGTGAGGGTGGTTGGAGCTTTCACTTATATTTACTGCATTGCAGGTGTTGGCGAATAGCGTTTATTGCATTGGACAGATATTGTTGTAGTGATGAATCAAGATCACAGACGAGTTAGTCCTAATTATGTGCGATGCTCTTACCATAAAATTTATTTGTCATGCCTCTTACTGACGGTGAAGGTTAAACCACTAGAACAAAAGCCTCGGTTAAAATATGGGAGTCAGCCAGCCAAAGATCCTCAGGAATCCCCAAAGTAATGGCGGACGGCGGATGGGTATGCAAGGGTGGCCCGCGGGGCTGGTTCTGCCATTCGTATTCTCGGACAATAACCATGAGAACGATCCTGAGGCACCGCGGATAGATGAGGAGGTGAAATCATCGTTCGTCCGAGCGCCCGGAGCCGAATAAGGACATTTATAGCGTCATATCGGAGATGCTACGGACGACGACCTGACTAGTGTCCGAGAGTCGCAAATTGTTATTAAATCGTCTATCATGCGAGTGTCACGATTAGAAGAGTTCCATAGTTGTGGAGAGAATGATGTCTGCTGGGGATCCCTCGAGAAGGCTAAAGACCGCCGTTCCAGAAAAGAAATAGAGAGGAATTGTTGGTCCTGATAGTGGCATTCCAATGGTGGATCGAGATAAGGGGGGCTGACAACTCGATAACTCCAATGCAGGGTTATATGCTCGTTTGAAGAGCTCTGTTGGTATATGAAAAGCCAGTGAAGATCCTTTCATGCAAGTAGTCAGCTATCTAGCATTGTAGGGCATTGGTTGGACCTTTGTCAATTGCTGCTTTTGTTGCGAAGTCTAATAAGCACCAAAAGATGTGCTGTTATGCTACTATTGAATAATCCAATGTAGGAGTGGTGTCTCATTGGCCGGTAACTTACATATGCCGCATATCTCTATCCATTCGGGTTGTTTACAACAATAGTCAATGATAGTCTGCAATGCCAACCTCCACAAACTGTCACACCGACGAGAACCATCACAAATGACCCGTAACAATTATCTTCACCTGTAGATTGTGCTGAGATAGCTTCCTATTCTCAGCTTATAATATAGCCAGTATCTTCTGTTAGTCTGTCTTCCTTTTTCCGGCAACCCCACACATAGGTGCCCGTCCGTATCGATACTGTGCTTTTCTATGGAGAAAGGACGGCATGACACCCAGCTCATCATGGATCGGAGAATCGATAGTTGTCCAACCCTGCATTCCGCTTGGGAGAAGATCGACAGGAAATCTGCATTCCGCCAGCTCATCCTTGTCCACCCCTTGCGTCATTCATCGCTTACCTTTAACATCCTCAGCTCAGCCTCACCTTGTCCTCTGAGATATAGTCAAGCTTCATAGCTGCAGATCCCCCTAAAGGACTGCATACTGTTATTCTCCCAACATCAGATTTCCAACGCAACAGGCAGTCTAGTTGCTCCACCCCGCAGCAAGATGGACTCGCCAGAAAGCGCACCCCCAGGGCACGGAGATCATCTCCCGGGGACCGAGATAATGCACGATAGGGATCCCCACCTGGTTCATGGATCTAAAACTGGGATAGTGTGAGCGGTGTTTCTCGAGCCTAGATGTACAGCAGTAGCTCACCTCCATAAGTCTCGTCCCTCAGCCATCAGAAGATCCCCACGATCCGCTCAACTGGGCGCCGAAATGGAAGTGTAAGTTTCACAAATCACCCACTCAATAGGCCACGCTAATCATTCCCCACGACAGACTTGGCTATAATGTCCCAGCTCGTGACGACCTTCGTATCAACAGCGTCCGCATTATCCATGAGCCCAATGTTTCCTGCCTTCTCCGATACCTTCGATCTGAATAACACCCAACTTCTGCTCATCACTGGCGTGTGTATCCTGTCGTTTGCCTATGTCAATCTGATCATCGTTCCCTGTGCCAATATCTTTGGACGTCGGTTTGTTTTCATCGCTTTCTTGTCGCTCAGCGTCGCCTCTTATGTGTGGGA